CAAAATGTAGTTGTGTTAGTGTGAAGCCAGCTTAGCAAAAATGCCTCGTGATTCAATCATTGGTCCGCTGTTAATATCGTGAGTGATAATCAAATGTTTGCCAAAGTGTGTAAAAGTGAGCATAAACTTTTTTTCTGGTGATATTGTATTTAATAACAATAAATAAAATAAAATAAAATTTTGGTGCAGTTTTGTGTCCGAACATATGTAAATATTGCCTACCACAAAATGCATTCCACAATCGCGTGCTAAGAAGAAAGATGTGGAGAAAGAGAGAGAGAGATAGAGAGGTAAAAGAAAGGAACAAACAGGGACATTTCTGACATTCTCTATAAATGGTAAGCGATAATCAGTTTTTTAWCAATTATGTTTACTGTTTAATTAATTAATTCATTAAGTGTTTTTAATAACTGCTGATGAGGCAACTCACTTAACTGCACTGCACAATTTATAATGCAAAGCAATAAAATTAACATACGGTTGAAAGGCATTTCCATACACAACTCAAGCAGGGGTTGAGGAAGAAGGTCTGAGAATTTGAAATGTCTTCAGCGCCTTTTCAAGTGCGTGACATTAACAGTTGAATGCAATATTGAAAATGGCATGAGTGAATAAAAGACACCGAAAGTGGGGGAGTGGGAAAAAAAAAACGAAGAGTGACTGAGAGGGAAAGAGAATAAGAAAGAAGACACTCGTGAAGTAAGTTCTTCTCGGCTGCAACTCATCATCAACGTCATTTGCAAAGTTCGCGTTGAAATTTTTAATACTCTGTAATTACTAAAAGTTGGGTATATTGAATGTGTATGTTATGCGTAGGCTATATATTTATCTGCACATGAGAAAATTTGGATAATTATATTTTTAGCTGGACGTTAAATTTTAAGTTGAAATATTTCGTTGGTTTTGTTAATTTCAAGTTCGACATATGCAGGGTATTTATTGCTGAATCTGTTAGAATACCTTAAAATTTCTACTTGTTTTCTTGTTGCTGCCGTCGGCATCAACGAGTGCAACAACAGCAACAGTCAGGCAAGGGCTTCAGTTACTTTTAGTGGCATGCCCCATGCCCCATACCTCATGTCCCGCCCCGTGTCATCATTCCCGCCATCTGTGGTAACGTCTCCCCCTTGCCTTGTCCTGCCACGTCCTGTCGCGTCCTGCATAAGTGCCGAGTGCTTGCCGCAAATAAATTTGATTTGCATGTGCAAATGAACGTGGAATTGAATTTTCTTATGCATGAAATGTGCGCATAATTGGTCTATGGAACGCTCACACTAACACACACGTACATGCACACGCACACATGCATACAAAAGCATTCTAACGGTAGATAGACAGACAGACATGCAGCAGAAGAGAAGCCGAAAGCTGTTTAGCCTTTTGCCACTTAGACGAGTGCCCCAGTTGTGGCATTGCTCGTAATTGCGTAATATACACAATTAAATTTCATTTCAGAAATATTGGTTTTGGGACCGAATTAAAACTTAACCAATTTATAGTATTTAAATACTTAATGTTTGATTTTTTAAACGGAAATCGGAAAATGTTTAAAAAATACAATATAAATTAGGGTGTCTCAAGATATCTCAAGTTCAATACATTCTAACTTGGAGATCCGGAAGTATTGAAAAGCTATAAATATATCATTATACTTACATATATACTGTGCTATCGATAATGATAATTATATTGAAATATTAATTCTTCATAATATAAAATAAAATTAATGTAAACATTTTAGTAGAATATATTTTCTTGTAATTATATATTACTAAAAGTTAATATTTTATATCTATCATGTTTCATGCATGAGTGGATTTTTAGAATATTTTATTGTATGTATTTTTTTACTATAGTGAAATTTATTTCCGTCCAAGGAAAAATAATATTATAATATAAGTGTTTTATATATTTGAGGGGATGTTCAGAAAGTTGTCATTTATTAGAATCCATAATGAAGTTTTCGAACTTTTTGAGCATTTAAAGCATAAATGAGTTTTTACAGTTTTGCTGTAAAATAAGTTATATTACAAATTAAATTAAATTACTCGGCTGTCATATACCCTATTTTACAATCATTCGTACATGTATACAGCCCAGCAGTAATTAAAGTTTTACTATAATTAAATAAAAAAATTCTCATCTGTCATATAACCCAAAATATTCGTAATTTTTGAATTCCAAACGAATATTTAGCATATTTTGCAGTAGATTCTACATTAGAGTTTCAAACAAATTTTAATTCGTATGGTAACTGACAGTGACTGACTAGAAAATATCCTCTATATGTTTGTATGTAGCATCTGCTCATGAAGGATTAAGTGGATGTCATGAAATTATATAACAATGGGAATAGACATCTTTATTTAATTATACTGCAAACACAATGAATCAAGTGTCAAGTGTGTTTGACAGTCATTATTTGCAACTTAAGAGGATGTTAAGTAGCCGGAGGAACATAATGTATAATGTCCATCGTACTGCTGCCGCTGCTGCATAGAGCACTCGACAGACTTGTGGAAATATAATGCCCATTGTAGAGGCGTAGCTTGAATAATTAAAAATACAATATTGTAGTGCAAACAGTTGGGCAGAATGTAGAGCGTTTTGGCTGTTGGCTAACTGTTGGCATCCACCCAGGCTGCACTTAGCCAAGGATATCCACTTACAGGACTCAACAGCTCCCGTATAGCCAAGCCAGCTAGCAGCCAACTAACGCTGACGACTGACAGTGGAAATCCTGACAAGCTGTGCAAACAATCGAGGCAAAAGGCATGACAAAAATGCAGCCTGTACAGTGATTCCTCTGCAGGCGAACGTGAACGCTACGTGCAGATGCGCTCGCTTATAGGTCAGACAGCCCAACAGCCAAACAGCCAGTCAGCCAGCCAGCCAGAAACGAGACGGACATGTGGGTGGCTGAAGTGGTTGAAATGGCTTTAACTCTAACTAGAGATGACAGCGAGACAATATAGGAGAAAATACACGAAATTAATGAAGAGTACTTTGGCAGTTAGTGAATTGATTATACAATGATGTTAGTTTGATATATTTTGCATAGTATAAAAATCATGCTTTATGCATGAGTAAATAAACATATTTACGTTCTATTTGTATATCTATATATTATTTATTTATTTTTT